AATGTTTGCCAAACTCGAATTAGCTCTCGGCAGTAAAAGCATGGTCTCAGAACACGGCCGTGTAATGGTTTAGGTGTGCCCGTGTTTTGGCTCAGCTTCACCGAAATGACTTCCGAATGCCCCGAAACTCGTGCTTAGCCTTCCCTTTTACACCTGGGACCTGAAACATGACAAAATAGCACAACCCGGCATAAAATAGGCCAAAAACACACGACTATGCCCCTCAAACGGGTAAGAACTAGGGGCGCAAATACGTGCAATTACATCGTTATCACATTCTCTGGTTGGCAGTAGTGATCCGTCTACATGTTGTAATTCTATCTTCATAAATTTCAGGAGCAAACTACTGTTTTTGTTTTGCATCTCGGCAGCTGTTACTACTTGGCCTCATGCTAGATCTCGATTTTTCTGATTCTACTTAGCAGGAAGACCGGCCTGCTGCATACACTTAGACTTTGAAATTGATGAGACTGGGATTGAAGTGGTCATTGGAGATGGCTTAAACCTGGGTGGTGACAAGGACTTGGCTGATGCTGAAACCAGTTTGGAAGAAGAAAAAAAAAGTCAGATGTTGCAATTGAAGAATTTGAGAGAGTTGTTCTTGTTGGTAAATCGACGAAAACTATTGTATCTTATTATTGAAATTACATAGGGTTTATATAAAGTACATAGACTGACTTCTATAATAACCCTAATACTAATACAGAAATTACCCAAGTTCTACGACTCTGATAAGGAGTATATCCCAGGATTTGCTATTTGTCGTCCCGAAAATTCTTAATCGTTGCCCTAATTATGTTAAATTTACTCTAATGTCCGTAGTTTATTTTTTTATTTTTTCAATCTTAAACTCTCACGTAATAAAAAAATAAACCAATCACCACATACATCCACTTGTTGTTGGTGCCGGCCATCTCACCGGAGAAAAAAAATCCTCACAAACCAATCGACCACCTCACCGGAGAAAGAATCTCAGATACCAATTGGCCAAGGAATGCGTCAAGCTCAAATCTGTTCGCGCACAAAACAATCTCGGGAAAGGAATTGAATAAGAAAGAAAACCATGTTGGACAATTGGATTGCGCGACGGGTCACCAGTAGCTTCAATGGCAGCAGTGGATTTCCTCCATAGCCATTTTTCACGATCACGATCGAAGATTGGGTTTGGGCCTTCGGGTTGAGGGGAGGGATTGTTTGCTGGGGAGATGCAACGATGGCGGGTCGGGGGGAAGGGAGCAGCGACGAGTTTAGGGAACGCTAGCGGTGGCCGGCAATCGTCTGGTGGGCGGGACGACACAGAGATTGGGATTAGGAAAATTGGAGTTAGGGGTATAAACGTCAATTTAGTATGGTTCAGGGAGATTTTTTTTAAACTTTAGGGCGACGAATAGTGATTCAGACCAATTACATAACAATACTCGTAGTATAACCTAATACTACTCGTACTACACATACTCTAATACCCTCCCCAAATTGATGGTAATAACTTACCAATAATTTGAAAATCGAAACAAAAACGACAAAAATTACTATGAACAATGTGACAAAAAAAAAACAACAAAAAACATAATTGCTCCGCCAAATATGTCGATGTTAATGGAGATCATGTCCAATGCCTCGAGAAACGTCGATGGTGATAAGCTCGATATAACAAAAGGTCTTGCCAAAGTCGTCTAGTCCGTCGAACTAATATAACCACGTGCTTCGAACAACATCATGGCGATCGGGATGTTCTGAATAGCATCGTCGAAACAGAAACAGAACCACGTGCTCCGAAGAGCATCATGGCGATCAGGATGCTCCGAATAGCATCATCGCAACATAAACGAAAGCAAAAATTTTCCGAACAACGTTTATCAAATTGAGATATTCCGAACAATATCTCAAACTAAGGTGTTCCGAACAACACCTCCAAAACTAAAACCAAAGGGACGAAACCTATTATTGTTCCAAACCGAGACAGACTTGAACAACCCCAACTGAAAACCTTTTTCAATCTCCACCATAACCGACCAATCAAAATAGTATCATTAGAACCCAATTACTTCATATTCACCCATCTAGAGCAAATCCATCCAAAGTACAACCCCAAATTCACGTGACAGCACAAATTCAAAATCACAAACACCAAAATCCACGTATCCAAGATTCTTGCTACTTGATGCGAAAGATTCCGAGAAGGAAATAAATACCAAGACGGCGGCATACACTAACCGGAATCGGAGTCGAAGACGGTAGAAGTCGAATCTTGATAGTGTGAACTGGAGACAAACAGAGGCTTGACGACATTCAAAATACCGTTATCGGGGAACTATTATTCTTGCCCACAGACAAAGCAGACTAGCTGTAACATCCCGAAACTTTTCCCGACAAGTTATTGTCCGCTTTGGACATCTACACCCGCATGGATTTTGACTTGGGTGCAATTCAAGGTGACTTCTCATAAGGTTACCCATTCTTGTTGTACTCAACTGAGCACGTTTAACTTCGGAGTTCTCACAAGAACTCCTCCATTTCACCCCAAAATGCATCTTGTCAGTTAAGGTCGGTTTCTTACTTATGAACCATGGATCTCTCCTGTGCTTTGTCGATGTGGGATTTGCCTAAGGTGTTACATACACCCCCCTTGAGACTCAAGGCCCTCGTTGAGGTTTGCCCCACCATCGTTCAAGAGGGATGCGGAGAGGCTCTGATACCACTTGTAACATCCCAGACCTTTTTCCGACAAGATACTGTCCGCTTTGGACCTCTACACCCGCACGGATTTCGACTTGGGTTGCAATTCAGGATGACTTCCCATAAGGTCACTCATCCTTGTTGTACTCCACACTGAGCACGTTTAATTTCGGAGTTCTCATAAGAACTCTTCCATTTCACCCCAAAACGCGTCTTGTCAGTTAATGTCGGATTCTTACTTATGAACCATGGATCTCTCCCGTGCTTTGTCGATGTGGGATTCGCTTAATGTGTTACACTAGCAGCTACGCTTGGACAATGGATCAGTAACTTCACAAGGACTCGGGAAAAGAAAGGAGGAGACTATTGGGGTTTTTCTTCTTCTTTTAAACACATAAGCTACAACTAAAAACAATAAGGAGGGAGAGTGATCAGATCATGGTTGGGCAATGCAATGATCATAATCATATGTCGGGCGGGGTGATATAGCATGACTACCCCTATTAATTATAGACTTTTAAGGTAATTGATTTGTGTTGTATTAAATAATCTGTCTGAATTAAAAATTCATATTAATTACTTTTCTTTTTTCAATGCAATGGTATCAAATATCAATGTACATGTGCAATGGTAGTTGTATAAGTGCAATAGTAGTTTTAAAAAAGGAATGTAATTAATATGAGTTCAGTGTACAGGTGCAATGATAGTTGTATCAGTGCAATGGTAGTTCAAAAAAGGAATGTAATTAATATGTGTTTTTAATTCTAAAAAATGATTAAATGCAACACGAATTTAAAATCATAATTAACTATAATTAATAGGGGTGTCATTTTTCCAATCCCATAGAGGGTTTAGCAATCTAACCGATCCCTATGTCGGGCGAATGTGCACTCATGGTAGGCGGTCGAAGAAGAAAAGGAGTTTAGGGGGTTTTCTCGACTAGGGTTTTTTTTTTATAACCAAACTCTGATACCATGTTGGTAAATCAGAGTACGGTGGAAATCGTTGTATCTTATTACTGAAATCACATAGGGTTTATATAGAGTACATAGATTGACTTCTATAATAACCCTAACACTAATACGGAAATTACCTAACTTCTAAGACTCTAATAATGAATATAACTCTGGCCAATTACATAACAGTACTCGTACTATAACCTAATACTACTCGTACTACACATACTCTAATAGTTCTTTGGGGTTGTAGAAGAATTTGTCAGTCGGGCCTTGTCCTTGCCTGGCTGTGAGCCTATGACTGGTCTTCTCTTGCAAAATGTAAAGTCGTTTCACTTAGCTTGCTTCAAGGACACGCTATCCAACCATCCAAATTGTTACGTTGTTGCAGTCATTGCTAAGGGTGAACAAACACACCCGCAAACCGATCCACCCGTCCAACCCGAACCAACCCACCTGTATTTATCGCTAAATCGATGGTTTTGGGTTGGGTGAGGGTTTTCTTTTGTACAACCCGCCTCTTTTGGGTTGGGTTTGGATTTTGGATTACACAACCCGTAGAACCCGACCCAACCCATGTTCCAATTATGGGTATGAGTTCGTATCCAAAAAAATATTTATGTCGTATATAGTCATACTTATGAGAAAATTAAGATATTTCGCCATGTTTTTCTCTTAAAGTCTCACTAATCTAATGCATTCTTCGACTTAAAATTTAGACATATATTTAATATAGCTATGATTCACGTATTTTTTTTCTTGTGTACAATTTTAAAAGTTAGACATAAGTTGAAGTAAATCAAGTTTTATTAAAATTCAAACAATATTTGTGAATTTTGATACCTTTCGCCTCGGTTTATTCGTTTGACTTTATAATTTGTTATAAAATATTTTTATGATGTAGAATAATTACATATTTTGTGTTGGGTTGGGTTTTTACTTAAAAATATCGCCAACCCGACCCAACCCAATTAAAAACAAATCGTAGGGTTTAAATTTTTTTGGGTGGGTTTGGATTTAAAATTTTCCAAACCGTAGTGCATGGGTTGGGTGATTAAAATGCCTAAACCCGGGCCACCCGACCCATGTACACCCTAGTCATTGCTGCTTCCTGGGGTGTGTATGATATATATAGAACTTTGCTATTTGTGTTTACTCTATTGTGCTTCACTTATCACACTTGTAAAATTCTCAGACAACCAATAGTTGGACCTGGCCATTTCTAACCTGTTATGGCTGGCAAAACCAATCGGGATTCTGGATCCACTTTGCTAACACAAGGATTTGTCAGTCATGTCTTACTGGGACTAACATAACATGTGCAGCAGCAGCCGCAGACAAGTGGAAAGCAAGCCAAGTGGAGAAGACAAAAAATTTGAACGTTGATTACTAGCTTTCCAAATTAAACGACACGACAATATGAGGATGTCACGTATTAATTAAATATTATTATTATTATTCTTGTTGTTGCTGCCTGCCCTGTGCGTTTTATTTACAAACAAATGGCGCCACACTTCCATGCATTTGGTTGATTTATTTGGGTCAGCGCCACTCGATAATTCAATTTTAAGGAATGCCTTCGATCGATGTGGCATGTCGATGTCTTCTCCTCCAATAACCTCATGCGCTTCCTTCCTTCTTTTGTGATGGCGGTGTTGAGAGCAGCATGGCAATGAGTTGAACTTGAAAGAGCAGCACAACTTCAGACGACAGCTCGCGTAATTCATGGAAGCAGCAGCAAGCAACAGCAGCAAGCATTCATTAGTTGGTCAAAGTCTGTTTAGGGTGACGATTTTATGACAGTAGAGACCAGAAACATGAGCAAGACGAAAGGATAGCAGACGCCTTCATTTGGATTAGCCCACGTGCAAGAAGAACTCAGACGTTCGGGTGGTGTACGCCAAAATCGGACAACTGGCTGAAGGACAAGAGGGTCTGATGGCCAAACTGGACAAGCTATTGGAACAAGGACAAAAGACAACGGCAGTCGCGGAGCAAGGACAAGGTCGTGGGTCACCAGACACTATCATGGAACATGGATTTGCAGCCCTGATATAGGCCACCTTGACACTCCGCGACAATAGCGGCGTGGCGGCGACGGGTAACCTGGGCAATAGGTATGCTGCGACGGTCATTGTTGGACAGGCGGGAGACCACCGCTGAAATTCTCTAGCCTCCTCCAAGGAAAGCGCCGCAAGAGAAGACCGGGTAAGGAGCCGGAGCGGAGGCAAAGGTGGCGGTGCACACGAGACGACCGACCTGTCATGTTGGGCATAGTGGTGGAGGGACATCGAGGGTCGACCAAAGATGGAATCAAGGCGACGGGCTGAATCGACCATGGCCACCAGGATTGGTTCAATCCCATGTTTGATCCGACTGGGGCCAACCGAAGCAGAGGAAGTGGCGGCAGAAGCTAGCAAGGCCAACATGGATCATCAACCTTGAGAGCGAGATTGTTCTGAAGTGATGGGGATTGATGGATGCACAGATTGATGACGTGTCACCAGTTTATTATTTTAAGTACGCCATTATCATTATTATTTGAGTATATTCAATTGGATTTTAGGGGATTTGATGATTCTTGGTAATATTTGGGAGATATGGGATTCTTGTAGACTGTAGTAGTTGTTAGGAACAGATACTATAAGTCTCCGTATGATTTTTATTTTGGATATTAAGTAATAACCAACAATTAATCAATAATCTTCCAAACTCTCTACTCCTCCCCTCTCTCTCTTGGTCGTGTGGCCTTTTCCTTCTTTATTTCTCTTCACGTCCCTAGACCCCAACCCTACTGCTTCTTCGTCCATCACCTCAAACCATTCCCCAAGCTAGTAAGCTACATTGTTTTGATGTTTTCCCTTCCCACATGTCTGAACACCCACTATTCACTCCCATCAACTCATCCCACTATTTCATTAACTGTATCTTGATCGAGGCACTCATCAAGTTCAAACAAACAAGGAAAGAAATAGATGCAAACTAAAGGGTCTATGTTGTTTGAGGAGCTTGAATTGAGTCTGTCGTTTGTTTTTGTCCTTTTGGTTTCTTTTGTGGATTGTTTGTTTTGTGGCCATCTGGTCAACTCTGATCCCTAACGCACGGTGTGCTAGTGTGTTCTTGATGTTCCCTTAGTGCAGAACTGCCCGTTCGTTCCATTTGTTCCCCGCTGACTGGTCCACTACCAGTCTCCTGCAGCATTTCAATCCGGTAACATCGTTCCCCTTCTCTCTCCCTATGCTCCATTGAGGGCAATGTCGTGCTTAAGTGTGGGGGGTGCTTTGTATCGGTTGGAATCTATATACATGTGCTTGGAGCCTAGTCCGCTGTCCAAATCTCGAGATTTGAGGGCTCCAAGTACGGTTGTTTGATCATATTGGCACTGTGTTTTGATTGGTGAATTGAATGGTTTCGGATTAATGCATGACAACTGGATTGTGACTAGGACAATCTATAATGATGACTGAGACGTGCAGTAGGATTGTGTAGGGGTTCAGTTTTTCAACTGTTTGCTTACCAACTGTGACTTGAATGGATCACTTTTTCTTGACAGTCGTTTATGCATCTAGTTCAGGGAATCAGAATGAGAGATAGAGCATAGGTAGCCATGTGAGATTTGAGCCTGCTCGTTTCTTTCTTGTACGATAGTTCCCTCTTCCATGATGTGTAGCATTCACGTTGTCATTAGCTAAGATGATGGAGGCATAGGATTAGCCCACGACCAAATTGACTGTCCTGGTGTGTCATACCCCCTAGTCAGCCCCTTTGAGCCGTGTGTTCTCCTTTCTTTCGGTCTACAATGAAAAATCACCCTTTTGCACCTCTTAGAAGGTTCCACAGAGTGGTTTTTGCATGTTCTCTGTTGTTTCTGCTAAATATAATGTGAGGGTTGGAGGTAGTTCTTAAAAAGTTGGGCAGGTGTTTGAAAAATGTGCAGAAGTGGTGGTTCTCTTAAGAAATGAAAAAAAAAACAAAGAAAAAATGAAAGCAAAAGAGAGCCACCACCAAAAATCTAAATAGTGTCCTTTAAGTAGTGTTTCTTAGCAGTCTGGCTTAGAAATACTAACATTTATGTGACCTCCTTCGCTCTTGTGCTCTGAAGAATTTGAGTAATGCAGAATAGCAGAAAGAAAGTACTGGTTTGATTGACTGTGAGTTTGTTGGTTTTGGAATTGTGGAACCTTGTGCTATGAATACTTCCACCACCTAAAAGGCTTTTTCCCCATGTCCAAGACCCTAGCCAGTCATTTGAACCTGTGTCTAAGACCTCCGAATTAGTTAGTGATCCATTTATGTGAACTCTAACACTTAGAGGCTTCCGTCATGGTGAAGAGATGTTAGGGATTGAGAGAATAAGTATGCGCATTTTTCGCATTAAATTGTCTTGACCCCACTGGTCGAGAGTGAGTGATTCATTTCCTTGTTATTTACACTCTTTACCCTGGTGAGGACCTAGATGGCTCGGTCTTGATTATGATGTCTTGAGTTTTATGCATGAGTTGACTGTCTTGAGTAAGTGGTTGAGTCAAGTCTATGTTGGTTGATGAACAGAAGGGAGACTCCTCCTTTATTCGATTTTGCTGCACTCAAATGTCGTCTGTGGTGGTTGTCCAGGTTGCTATTGAAGTTGTTCATGTGTTGGTGTTTGAAAGCCAGTATGATTCATTTGTTTCTGTGCCTATATGATTATTCCCCAATGTTGGTATGATTGGAATATGTGAGCTTACCTTGTGTCTGACTTGGTTTGCTTGGGGACAAGCAAACGGTTAAGTGTGGGGGAGTTTGATAAACCGTTAATTGCACATGTTTTCACCCCTATTCTTGAGCCGTTTGAGATGTTGATTCTCGTGTTTTAGGTCGATTTCACGCTAGGTTGTGCTTGTTTGTGATATTTCAGGTCCTAGTACGTGAATGAAGGTTTGGGAGCGAGTTCGGGGTCAATTGGACGAAGATCGGACGTGTGGCGAGTCGCTGAGGAAGTCACACGGGCACCCATAAAACCCACACGACCGTGTAGGAAATCAATGTGGCCGTGTGGAATTCTGCGAGGCTTCACACGGGCAGACTGGGCATGCCACACGGTCGTGTGTCCCTGGCCGTGTAGGAAGCCTGAAATCCAATTACTCGCAACGCGGCGTTTTGTCTCTCACACCGGCATCTGGGTAAGCAACACGGTCGTGTGGCCTACCCGTGTGAGTCGGGAATTCTGGTTTTTACCCAATTTCGAGCCACAAGTGAGAGGATCGACTTAGAGAGAGAAAGGGCGAAGAACAAACCCTAGGATCTATTTGGAGTGGATTTCTCACCATTGAAGCCCAGATTGCGCCCCCGGGAGTGAAGATTGACATCCTAGAGCAGATTTTCCTCATCCTTATGAGTATGAATACTCTGATTCTGTTTTCCTCTCTCTCTCTATGGAGTAGAACCCTTCTCTCACTTGGGTATGAAGAACCCTAGTTCCATTTGTTAGGGATTTGATTGTAATGACTTGGGATGATTATACTGTTTGGTTTTAATCGAATGATGCACGATTCAATGAATTGATTGAAGTCTGATCAGCTTTTCTTGATTTCTGCTGCAACCTGAGATAGATAGAATCTGATTAGGTTGTTAGAGCTTCTTCATTCGGTAGTAGGAGATTGGCTATACGAGAGTTAGTCAGTCTACTGCTTTGTACTGGAATCCAATTCCAGTAGTGGAGTTCTGTGCTTATTGCTTCAGCTTTCTATCCCGGTGAAGACTAGTCGTCTGCCGGGTAGTTAGACTGAGAGGGCTTGGTCAGCTTAAGAGATTCCAAGCTACTGTCGGATCTTCCGCAGTCTAATCAACAGTAAATCAACCCAGGGTAATTACAATTGAGACTTAACTAAGGAGCTAGGGGGACTCATTCCCGAGTGACTCTTCCTTTGCTTGAGAAAACCGAACCAATTCCTGCTTTCTTTCTGCTTTTAGTTAAAACAACAATCAATCGACTTAGTTGGCTAGATAATAGATAATCACGGAGTAGGCAGTAGATCTAGACCCCGGGTTGATATTTAGAACTTGCCACTTTACTGCATTCCCGGACTGCGATTACACTTGGTCGTAGTTTGGTGTTGTGTTTTGGCGTGTCAGGGTCATAATTTTCCAAAACTGATCAAACTGACAAACCTCTTCATCTCCTATATGTTCTTAATCCGCAGAAAAAGCTAGGGATTAGTTGAGTGATCGCTCAATAGGGAAAATCTTAGAAAAGAAATCGACGACTCGTGCTAGACACTCTACAATACGTGGTATAAGAGGCTAGGCTCCGTTGATTAAAGTCAAATGTACTATGAAGTTAAGGATATGGGTTCGTTATATGAAAATGGAGTTGTGCTATTTCTCGCCGATAAATTTTATCAGAATCGACCACCACATTTAAATTATGGCTACTGAAACTTGTTAATTGGGTCTAGAGATTCCAAACTATGGGATCGTATTGTTGATGGTCCACACGAAATCAAGGTAGATAGAGGGACATGGCTTGACGAAAATAGAAAGAAGTTTCAAGAAAACTGCAAGGCAAAGAATCTCATGTATTGTGCGTTGGGTCCTGAGGAGTATCACAAGGTTGCTGGATGCAAGACAATGAAAGAGATATGTGATAAACTACAAATCATGTATAAATGTACTTCCCAAATCTAGGAATAATATGTTGAAAACGCTCTGGCTATTGGAAAAACTGCCTTAGATATATTAAAACTTTCAAGATGGAAGGCCCAAATCATATCGACAGATTGGAGGAAGGTATACAAATTCAAAGACAACCTGACTCATTCCTAACTACACATTGAATTCCCAACTAAAGCCCAAGTGAAAACTCTAGAAGGGTGTAGTATAGGGCAAGCATTTTAATTGTCAACCCGAGACGGTCCATATACTCCTATTTCAATCGCTTAAATTTTTATCTAGCTACCGCTTTAGAGTTTGAAATTAAAGAACTACAGTCGTAAATAGCAAAAACAGTAAATCAAGGTTGTTCCAATAAGAGAAGAATTCACTCAGGTATTGCTCCCGCTAGATATACATCAAGATTGACCAAATAGAATGCAAATATGTAAAGATGCGCTCATACACCGTAATGAGGTTGCAACTAGTGAAGAAAATTCACTCTCTCGAGTGATAGGCCAAGGAATATCAAATTAAGCTAGGGAACTATCTCCCTTGGGCAATCAACTAAGGGTTGCAAAGGCTACTCCCTCAGAATTTAATCCGAAAAAAATTAAGCTAGGGAATTGCCTGAGGTCGAGATGTCAGTGGTTGCCGAACTCAGCTCGGCTTCACCTTTCGTACTGTATCCGAAAATGAGAGAACTGGGAAACCTTCCGAAGAAAAGGGCGGCTTGGATCCATCATCCTACAAAAACATGAAAAACCATACATCGTACGTGGAAACATTCATCAAACAATGCTCATTTGGGGGAGAGTTAACTCCCCCACACTAAGAATTCCACAATGGCAACATGCATCAATAGGGTTTTCACAAGATTGGTTCATCCACATTGAAGATCAAACTCCACAAGGTATATCTAGGCATGAAACTAGGTGTTTCATAGATCATAAAGGTTGCAATTGCTCGGTGACCACCATTCATCCTTCACCAAAGTGTATCAACAATAGACATTTAAGTAAACACTTGGTGAGAGTTTCTCTATTCAACCATCAAACATGCAAAATCAAGCCCACCAAGGCAGCAGTTGAGTACCGAGGCTCGCTAGAGTCTTGTCAAGGAAATTTTTCGGCGACTGGAGACTCCCACTTTCCTTCTACTACTTTAACAACATGCCAGTCATCATCATTAATCAAGTCCCACTTTCAATTTCAAACATTCATGAAAAATCCCAATTCTCCTCTTATAAGAACCATATATCCAATTCTCCAAAATTGATCAAGCAAAAGATGAAAACACAATTGGAGACTCAAGTATAACTAGTGGTAAAGTTGAGGATAAAGGGTAGGAGTAAAAAATCGGCCGAAAATCTGGCTGGAGAAGGTTGAGCAGAGCTTCGCCCGAGGCTCGCTATAGTCTCGTCAAGGCAATTTTCCGGTGACGAAAAGTAGACCAACTCCACCAAAATCTCAGTGACGGTGCGCCTTGATCTGGGAAATTTGGGTAAGTGTTTGGTTTTGGGATTGGACCGTCGGAAGTGGATCAAATTGTCGGATAACAATTTGGGCGATGTTTTCCAATGCTCCGACGGTTTTCCGACGAGAGATTCAGAGGACTCCGTCGAAAATGATTTTGTAAAGAAGGAGGTTTCACGGTCGACTTATATAGCCCAAGGTTCAAGATCACGTGCGGGGGTCAATTGTCACAGTCAATAGAGCGTGACAAAAACGGGCTGAACGTGACCTTGAACAAAAATGGTGAGTTTAGGGCAAACATCTCGGTTGGTTAAATTTCATGGGCTAGGAGTGGGCATTTGGTCGGTTCGGTTCAAACCGAACCGAAACTATGCATACTGGGTCCCTGAACTCTATCAAATCTCAAACCGAATTCAAACCGAATTATAATTCGGTTCGGTCATTTCGAACCGAATTATATTTTGGTTCGGTTCAGTTTTTCATAAAAAACCGAAATAGTGAGGTTAGATTGTATCTTCTCTTTTTTAAATTATTTTTTCACCCCTAATGTAAGTAATAAATATGCATCATCAATGATAAAATAAAAAATTTCAACACATAAGTCATAAAACTCTAACATGATTCAAATATTTAAGTCTCATAATAAGTAGAAACATAAAAATCCACCATTTAGAGCTTGCAATTATAATAATTCGATTTTTCGGTTCGGCCGAAAGGAACCTGGTTTCCGAAATATGCTCTTTTCTCTTCTGAATTCCGAACCGAATAACATCAATTTGGTTTCGGTTCAGTTTATATTCGGTTCGGTTTTACCAAATCGTATGCCCACCCCTATCATGGGCACTTGCCTGTGACAAATCCCCTTTGGTCATGATGATCGCAAACAGAGGAGATGTCATCCACTGTCACATTCTCCATCACATTATCATGGTCGACTGACCGTGATAATATGCCTAAAACCATGACTTTCACAAAAACAGGGCAACTCCTCAATTCTCAAGACTCAATCTATTCATCCGCACCTCAAACTCAATCAGACTTAATCAAGCATACAAACACATAAATTGTATCAAGATGAACATCCCAAAATCACTACTCTACTCAATCAATCAAACAAAAGGAGAAAATAAGGAAAAGAAATACGAACCGACGTTGGGTTACCTCCCAACAAGCGCTTGTTTTACGTCTTAGCTAGAAGTTGTGGATCATCATGTTGGCGAACATAAGGCCATCGAGAGTGGATTCGCCACTATCTCGGGGGCGAGGCTCATCACCTCCAATCTCCAACTCGGAAGGGTGGCCCTCTTGGCCTTTCACTTTTGCCTTGCCCTTCTCCTTCTTTTGGGGCAAAACTTGATTCATCTACTCCCACCATGCCCTCATTTGCCTCCCTAGTACCCGCCTTAGGTCTCTGCTTCACATCATCATAAGGAGAGAGAGAGCAATAAGGTGGGTTTCGTTGATCGACTTACCTCCACTCACAAACTCACCATTCGACTCTATCCCTTTTACATCATCATGTTTAACCTTAGGATCAATAAAAAAGTGATTTTCTCCTCACCATATCTCAAGACTAATGTGACCTCATTAACATCGATTTAAGCCTTGGCGGTGGCAAGGAAAGGGCGTCCTAGGATAAGGGGCATATATGCATCTTCGCTAATGTCAATGATAATGAAATCTAGCAGATAATAGAATGTTCCCACCCGTACTAGGACATCCTCCACCATACCTTTAGGACTAATCACAGAACGGTCAGCCAATGTAACACTCAACCTAGTGGGTTTCAATTCACCTAGGTCTAATTTCTTGTAAAGCTTATACGGCATGACATTGATACTTGCTCCTAAGACAGCCATGGATTTTTCTATATGACATGTTCCAATGCAAAGAGGTATAGTAAAGCTACCTTGATCTTTTTTTTTTTTTTTGGCAACTTGTTTTGTATGAAGGCCAAGCACTCCTTGCCCAGAGTAACTGTAGCAAGGTCTTCAAACTTCTACTTCTTTGCAAGAAGCCCTGATATAAGCTGAGGCTCTAACTCCTGGACTTAACAATCATAAACGGAGCAAAGGTCGATTAGAAGCAAAACGATCACAAAATGGATAATAACCCAAACCAAATCCACACGTTGGAAAGAGGGCCGGGTATACAAAGGACTATTCGGCTAGGGTGATGAGCTAGCAGAAAACGTCGGTTTCCTCTTGCTGAATTGATTCCACGACAGAGAAAGAAGAAGAGAAGTTTGTGTTTGAACAACCAATTTAGGGTTTGTATTTCTGCATAAAATTTTCGATTACCTTCTAAAAGACTTAGTTCAGCCCCTTATATAGGCTATAAAGGTTTTGGGCCAAGAATAACAAAGAAACCTGAGTTTTGGTGTAAAAGTCACATATCCGTAAAGGAAACAGAAAACTGGTCGTCGGCAACCCAGTGCAAAATACCCAACCTCCCCTCTCAAATACCTGGTCGGCTCCTCCAAAACCAGATCGGGTTTTCCTTCCTCCTGGCTGGGTTTTTGGCCTGTAGTAGTCCCAACTCCAATGATCATCACTTCTCATCCCACGAACAAGTCGGCCTTCATCTTTGGACCACGATCGTTGTATGTTCTTTGAACTCGATGAACGTCTTGTGAGGTGATCCGGGTTGCATCAATCTCTCCCTCTTCAAAACGATTTGTCCTCAAATCTAGTGGTTGTATATAGGCTCCTTTGTACAGCTCCATCACCCTCGAACTGGAACGTGCACCTTGAGTGTAAAGCTTCTCCACGAACTCTTGAAGTCGTCGCTTGTCTCTTATTTGAACTTCTGTTGCTAGTCCTTCATCTCCCACAACAAAGTCGATGTGATCAGTAATCTCACCATAATCTAGAATCTGAATCGAATTACCTCGAAGATGATCACCTTCAACTCCCATGATTATATCTACCCTTCAGGCCATCATCAAAGTTATGGTAGCCATTTTTGCACCCTTCTCCCTCTTGTCCGACTCTCGTTCCTTCTCTCTACCTTGCTGCATTTGGAAGTGACCTTCATAGACCTCTTTGGGAGTCATTGTCACCAAAGTATGTGTTTTCCCCTTGCAAGACAGAGTGTACTTGTTAGTCTTGCCATCATGTCGAGCAGCTTTATCAAATTGCCATGGACGTCCCAATAGGATGTGGGCAGCTTGCATAGCTACTACGTCACAGAGCACCTCATCCTTGTATCTCCCAATCTCAAAGTTCAGTAGCACCTGCCGTGTCACCTAAATGGATCCATCCTCGTTCAGCCACTGCAATGTGTAGGGACCCAGATGTTTGATGGTCTTCAATCCTTGATTCGCCACCACGTGTGAGCTAACAACGTTGGTGCAGCTCCCTCCATCTATGACCATTAAGCACAACTTCCCATTGACCAGATGAGTGTGGAACAAGTTTTCCCGCTACTCGATCTCTTCACTTTGTTGCACGTTCAGAAGTTGCCGAGCTACATAGGTGTAGTTGCCTTGCATTGGGCGCTCCTCAGCTTCTTCTTCATCCTCTTCAGTCTCGACCTCTCCATCTTCAGGCTTGGACTCGTACTCACCATTCTCCAGCAAGATCATCGCACACTTGTTCGGACATTGATTTGCCACATGACCTCGACCTTGGCACCTGTAACACACAATAGAGCTCGAACGTGTGTTAGTAGTTGCCTTCTCTCCAGCATTTATAGCAATCGACTTGGGCGTTGGCTTAGGGTCCTCCTTCTTCATAAATGAGGCCAAAGTTGCACTCGAGGAAGCACTTGTGGATGGTGCAATCCTCATCGCATAGCCTCCATTCTGCTACTTCTCGACCTTAGTAACCATCTACACCAGATCCTCAATCTCCATGACCTGCCTGATCTCCCGATTGAGACCATTGAGAAATCGAGCCATGGTTGTTTCTCGATCTTCACTAACGCGAGCTCTCTCAATAAGTGAAGAGCTTGATGAAGATCCTGTTGGTGGTGAACGGGTACGAATCTCCTCCTCATGGCTACTTTCATTTCATGCCATGTCGTGATGGGTTCTTCTCCGTACTATCTCCGTGAATCACCCATTGGTCCCACGAAACAAGGACATAGTCAGAAAACTCAAGAGCAGCAATGGTTACCTTATTCCGTTTGAATTAGTAGTGACACTCGAATAAGTACTCCATCTTTATCTCCCAATCGAGGTAAGCTTCAGGATCACTTCTCCCCTAAAATGATGGCACCTTCACCTTCAGCCCCCTCATATCATCATCCCTATGATGGGGATACTCTTCCTCCTCATAGTAATCCTCATAGTCACGAGGGTCAGGAGCTCTACGAGCTTGAACTGGTGGTCTCTCTCCTCGACCTCTACCTCATCTGCCTCGTAAAGGTTGGAGATTGTTGGGACCCAGAGGTCGGCCTCGCCTTCCACCCGGTGGTGGTGGGGGCGGTGGAAGTTCTTCCTCCTCCTCGTCGTGGTGGAGGTTGATAGCTTGAGCCATTTCGTCGAGGCGAGCATTGAGTTGATCCTGTTGGTCTTGCATCAGTCGGGTAAGAGTCCTACTGGAGCATCCATGGTAGCTTTTGGAATGCTCTCCAAGTTCTAAACTTCCCGATCGTTGCGAATTTCTCCTTCTCATGTCATTTAATTCAGAAACTCAAAACAAGAAATTATCTACCAATACTTTAAGTTTCAGATTAATGGTACGAAAAAGGACCTCACAAGTCACTCCCTCATGTGTTTCACTCGTATGCGGGTCACTCTTTCTCTTACCACTCGTGTTTCACTCAAGCAATTGGCTTTTACAAAAAAGGACCCCACAAGTCACTCCCTCACGTGTTTCACTCGTCTGCAGGCCACTCTTTCTCTTACCAGTCGCGTTTCACTCAAGCAATTGGCTTTTACCCGATAATGAACTCACGAAGCCTCTTTCCACTCGCTCTCAGCAACCCTAGACAAGAACTGCTTAAACAAGCAATGATGTTCTTTAGCAACCCTAGTATGATTTTATAATTTATTTTATTTTTAAAATTATATAAATGAAAGAAAATTATATTTTTTGAAATAATATTAAAATATGGTCAGGATAATCTTGTATTTTCAAAATAGCTTTTCGTAGAAGTTTCAAATCAAAGCTTATGCTTTTATGTTATACAAAGCCTATGTTTGGCCCGACTTTTATTAGTGTTTTTCGATTTCAAAAGCTGAAGCGGGGCCAAACACCTCTAGGGATCGTTTGGATGAAGGTTTCTAATGAGAGAGTTTAAAACAATCCCTCATTATGCAGGATTTTAAAGCAATCATGCGTTTGGATATATGAGAGATTTTGGGTATTAAGAATTTCGAATTCCTGAAAGGCAGGTTTTTAGAATAGCTGATGGAGATAAGCTATTTTGAAATCCCTCATTTTTTTTTTCTTTGTTCCAAAATTGTCCTTCCATCTCTGATCTGCAATCCCTACCAAACCCGTTAACCTTCCGGCGGCTCCATCCCTTCCAATCCCTCCAAACTAGTCAACCTTCACGTTACTCCATCACTTCCAAACCCGCCGACTTCCTGTCGATCTTCCAGGGCGAAGGAAACACTGTCGCCACTTGCCATCATGGTTCCCTCTACTGCGCGGATCGAGATCTATCAATCTCCTCCGCTGTTCTTGGCAAAGAGGGGGGAGATTGTGAGGGAGGTCGATGGAGGAAGATGATTAATGGTGGTTTTCGAGGCTGGAGGAATAGAATGAATGGAGGGGAAAATCACTGATCTGAATTGCCGACGGCAGGAAGGAGATGAATGGTTGTGGGGATCGGGTCGTGGGGAGATTGTTGATTTGTTAGGCGATGCAATTTGTTTCACGATTCTTCTTCCGCCTGGTCCTGTATTTGGGTTCACAAATTGGTTAATGATTCTTCTCGCTCTCTCCTTCCGCCTAGTGCTGGATTTGGGTATGTAACTTCCCAGATTTGATTCCAATGTGGGTCTTTGGCTTGATTTTCATAGTTAGAGATGAGGTTATCGGATGAGAGGAGAAGAATGAGATAGGTAGAAGATAAGGATAAAAATGTAATTTAATTTTTTAAATTAAAATTTTGTGTTCATATCCAAATAAGTGATTTATTAAAATTCCTCATATTAAAAACCTAGGTTTATAAACCAAGGGATTGTGAGTAAAAACCCAGGTTTTAGGAAACCTGTATCCAAACGACCCCCTAAAAGCTTGGCTTTTAAAAAGCCGAAAAGTGCTTGTGTATAATATAAAAGTAGAAGCTCCAATTTAGAGCTTCTGCGAAAAGCAGTTTTGAAAACACAATATTATCATTACCATATTTTAATTTTATTTCAGAAAATATAATATAATTTTATTTCATTTTAAAAATAAAATAAATTATGAAATCATATTATATAATATAAAAGAAATCTAACAAGATCCATTTCGAATAAGTTTTATTGTTTAGAATTTTTATTCATGTTTTATATTATACATTCCTTATAATCATATTACATAAACTTTTATATTAAAAAACACTCTAATAGTTTTTATGCCAAGCACTCAACTTTTTTTTAAGTACTTCTCTAAAAGGTATAGCCATAAGCTGCATCTGCAAAATTACAGCTGGGCCAAATTAGTCCAAAAACACTTTTCGCCTTTTTAAAAGCCAAAATTTTAAATTGTTGGTCCTGTTTCAACTTTTAAAACTGAAATATACTTTAAAAAACCGGGCCAAACATAGGTATCATAAACTAATACCAAACGTGTCGTAGTAGTACTTTAAAAATCCGTTGGCCCTGGTAGGGATTTACTCCTAAATAGTAGTACTACACTACTTGTCCACAGCCTTTGTTTGGTAGCGGTGGTCCTCATTCAGCCACAACCTTAACCTGTGGTTGCTAGTCATCTTCCCCTCCCTGCTCCCATAATTCCCCATACTCTGCCTTGCTACACAACAAATCATTTATCCAATACACACCAAACGCTCACTAACTTCTTCTGCCAAGGGGGATTCACACCCCAGAAACAAAAGCAAAAAACTTCTACTAAGGGCCTTCTTCTTCTTCTTCTTCCCCTAGGCTTCAAGGTCAGTCTTCCCCTTATCTCTTTCTTTCAGTTTCGCTTTGTGGGTACCTCATTTGCTTGCTGATTTTCTACCCTAGTCTTCTTCCTGTTGGGAATCTATGTAAGCTGGCTTAACATTCTGGAGATTAACACCAATTCAACTCTGAATTACTGGCCTAAATTGAATCATGCTAACCAGTATATGTAGATTGGTTCCATTTTCTCATAGTGGGACTGATTGGCTTCTGGTTAAACTAATCGTCCTTTCTTGGAATCGTTAATTGTGCAATCAGACTTGACAGTTGAGTCGTTTGGGTAGGACTGCGAGTAAATTAGATACTTCAACTATCTGGGTTTCATGAACATCAGTAATTTCCATGTTTAACTTTTCTGGGTGATATCCTGCTAAGAAGGAAACTTGGGTTCTCGATGGAATCGATTATGTTGCTTGTGTTCTTCAATTGTTGTTCATCTTAGGGAATTTCGTTCTAGTATTTCTCCTTTTAGTGATTTTGCCTGGGTTCCTGCTAACTCCAAACTCTCACGGAATCCTATCATTTTCCTCACCTAAGCTTTTGAGGCGGCAGTACAAGGCGATATGCTAGCTGCTGTCATCTTATTGCTGTCCTGACCTTTCCACATGGAACTCAGTGCAAGCAAGGTCTCAAGCAGTGCAATTGCAACCCAAAGCAGGACTACTCGTATATCACATGACATTAGCTCCAAGTCAATGTTGCATTGTAAACCCTATCCTGCCACAATGCAACAAATCAATCTTCAGCAGATAAGGAATGCACGTATCTCCAACTCAAGAATCTTTTCGTCTGAAGAGAGGCTTTGGGGGACGCATGAAAAATCAATCCATGTCACGGTCACTCAAAAATCCTCTTTGCTATGCCAATCAATGCGAACTCCAAGGGCTGAAGAAAAGGAACGCTGCCTGTCTTCTAAAGATCGTTCCGACCATTCCAAGTGAGATTTCTTAGTCTTTGTTAATTCATTTGCCTCTTTGAGTATCAGTTCTTTTGTCTTCATAAGTTTAGACAATTTTTTGACACATGAAAACCATCCTTCATCTGCACCCTGGAGCTTATTCACTCGGATAGACACATCATCGCATTTCTTCCTTCCTGCTCTTCGCATTTGTATGTATATATATGTTTAAAATATGTGTTGAAGTTTTCAATAAAGATACTTTCATGTGTCAGTGCGAGAATTGGAGAAGAGGAACAACGTACAACTATGGCTGGGAGAAGTATCCATTCAAATCCAGGCCTAGCTGAAGCTTGTAAATTTGTGCAAAATGATGCTAGATATGTAAACGAAAGGGCTCGTAATGACATCGTGTTGCTTTCACGGTATCCACTGTATCCTTTACTCGTCCAATTTACTAGAGGGATTAGGCTTCCCAATATCAGTAATCACTCTGGTCTATACTTTGGACTCAATCAAGTGACTTGAAGAATTGTGCCTTAGTTGGCTCTTCTTGTTACAGTTACAATTTGTAGTATCAATTGAACCTAATATTAGTTGTTCAAATTTGTAGATATGTTAAAAGTTCGAAGTCTGTATCTGAATCTTATTTTTTCTTTAGAATTAGAAGAAGTTTCGTTCATTCGTAAATCACGTCTTTTTAAGCCAGGTCCAAACGATTCTATTTTTATCTTAGTCTACGGGTCTTTAAAAGTTCTGCTTATCTTTCCAATGAAAGAACTGAAATATGAACAGATTGCTGCTTAACTCCCGCGCTTTTACGCCCGCCTTTAATTTCCATGCCTTGTGCATCGTTTCGAATAAAAAACCCCTGCAATACCTTACTTCGGGGGAGATCTTTTGTATCGAAGCAAATAAATATTAAAAAAAAATGGAGTTTGCTCCACCACAAATAGATTTCGCCGCATAGATTGGATAGAGCTAATTAAATTTCTTAGGTCTGGGTCGGTCGGGATCCAATTCTCTAATAGAAGAAATGGATTGATATGGATTTTTCCCAGCCGCATTATCATCATCTCACTTCCTCTTCATGACATCCTGAATTTGTTGAATATCTTGTTCAGAGTGAAAGCTTGGTCATTGTATTCTGTTCTTTCCCTTCTTATCAGGAGCATATTGAGCTTGGATGCCCGAGCACGGAAAGATGTTGCTATTCTTGGATCTGAGTTTCTCAAACTGGATGGTGAGTTTTCCTTTGCTCCTAAAATTGTTTACCACCTTTTGCCTTTCTGACTTCTGCGGCCTGGACAGTGGGCAGGGACAGGTTACGGTTTGATTAAACGTGATGTGCAAGATTGAAATCATTGTCCTCCCCCTACAAATCCCATTCTCTGATATGTTGGTTCTCCCCTTTATCTACTTGTCCTTTGATACTATGTGTGCTACTCTGCAGCTCGGGCAAGGGAGGATACTAAGAAAATTGACAGTGGTGTGAAAATGAAAGCAGAGCGTCTTCACCACATCACAAGTGTAACTAAAATAATGGGAAATTCAGAGCCAATGTTACTACTTTACGAAAAAATTTCCTCCACACTACTTCTTTCTGAAGATTATCTGCTTCTGTGTCATGCAGATCTTAAAGGACAGAGCTCAGTCCAGATTGGAACGAGCTGCCACTAAGCACTGGAGTGATGGTGCTCTGAAGGTACTACATTGTCTCAACATTTCTGTATATGGATTGGTCATTGTGTTTGATGTAGCTTCAAACATGCAAAAATTAAAGGAACACTAAAAGTTTATGGATAAGAAAACCATCTACTGAGCACGGAAGAAGGTTTGAATAAAGATTCACTATCCAATCCTTTGTAGGTTGAACAAGACTTACCTTGGGCATTTTGCTTATATCTATGTCCACATTGCACCCTTACAAATTCAACTTTAACGCCTATTCTGTTTCTGAAGCACTCTATTTCATTGTTATTTACTTTATTTTACTTTTTGGAAATGGAATGTTATCCCATTGTTGAAAACACCATCGGATGCACTTGGGATGGAACCTTCTGACTGCTTCCAGAATGATCTGCGTCGAGCTGACTTTCGTGCGAAGCAGCGTGCCATGGAAGATGCCCTAATGGCATTGGAGGTGAGATTTTGTTTTATCATTTAAAGCCTACATACCCGTGTTGGGAAAATAGTTTATCTGAGTCCTACATACATGGTGGATTCCATTTATTGTTATAAATTATGAATATACAATTGGGAGCATATAAAAACTTCATGTCAATGGAGAAAAATACTTATGTTCCTTAGGTTTTTTTATGTTTTCTCAGTTTGTGCAAAACATACATGACCTAATGGTTTCAAAGATGCACAAACTGTAAGTAAGCTCTTTGCTTTCATTTTCCCTTTCTCCACTAGCTCCATATTAAGTTGCTTGCCTATGATTGACGTATTATTCCTTCCATGTTTTTCAACTTTTAGTTCTTTGAGCAAGCAGATAGGTCCAGTGGCTGATGATGAGACAATGGAATTTATTACACTTGAGAAAAATGGAAGTACATCCGATATTTTCCCTGGAGAAGTATCTTCTGATCGTATTGCTGCAATACAGGTCTCTATTCCCTTGACTGTCTTATTCAATTTCCTTAACTATGTCTGTTTTCCTAATACCATGAAAAATCATGTTGGCATGGGTTGTGGCATGCAGGATGCTTACTTTAGCATGGCGTCTGCACTCTCTGAAGCTGATGGCATAGACTACACTGATCCTGAAGAGGTTTGAAACTCACTTTTGAAGAAGTTTATATGATTTTGTTGCAGCGATCTCAATTTCATGCATTATCATCTTTGTTTCTGGAGCAGCTAGAACTTCTGATCACTACCCTCATTGATCTTGATGCCATGGATGGTAAAACTAGTGTGTCACTGTTAGCAGAATGTTCAAGCTCCCCTGATGCAGAAACTAGGTAAGACATCTTTATTTGTGCAAAAATGGTCTACTCGTGTATACATTTCTAAATGCTCGTATAATTTTGTGTTTGGCAGACGAGCATTAGCCAATGCATTAGCAGCAGCTCCATCGATGTGGGCATTGGGGAATGCAGGGATGGGAGCATTGCAGGTGGGTCACTTGTGATAATAAAACAACACTATAGTTTTCTTGTAAAGCAAACTCTCCGGGCACTTTGAGAATTCTCCTTTCCTTGCTGCAGAGACTGGCTGAAGATAGAAACCCGGCAATTGCAGCTGCAGCATCCAATGCAATATATGAACTGAAAAAACAGTGGGAAATAGAGGAAGGAGATAATTGGAGGTTTATGGTGAACCTAAAACCTGCAGATGCTGATGAAGTAGATAGCCAAGAAGACGATCACGACAGCAAAAATGCAGGCTGATACACAAGGGTGCATAACTGTTGATATCTTAGACATAGGGTAAGACTAAACCTTAGGTTACCGCAGCTCTTCATTGTCTCTATTCCTTTGGCCTTCTACATCTTCATAGTATAGCCGTTCAGGGATGGCCAAAGAAATAGCACCATGAAGAGAGATAATGACAATGAAGGGAGGTGAAAATCTGGAAACTCCCATCTGTCCTTCTCACTGTGGAAAAGCTGGTATTTTGGTTCATGATGTATCCTCCATAGTAGGAAATTGGATAAGATATGTATCGAACGTCTGTGTCCCGTCTACGAACAAGTTGGCCGTCCATTCTACTCGTAGCAAGCAGAGAATTTGGGATGAAAATATGTCAAGAACTAGTTTCTCCTATTAACCCGAGTTGTTGGAAGAAGGTTATGCTGGATCTTATACAATTCTCTAACAAGTCCCCTCAAACAAAAACCAATCCATGGGCTTGAAATTTGCACAGGCCCGCCATACCATGTGCTTGAAACAACGGTTAATATTGGGGTCGTGGAGATTCGAATACACGACCACTTGGCCAAACCAAGATATCATGTTAGGAATCAGTTGCTCCCAATAACTCGAGTTGTTGGGAGAAGGTTATGCTGGATCTTATACAACTCTCTAACAACATAAACTCTATTAAGAAAAAAACTGTAATCCTATGTGTTGTGGTTGGTGGGTCACACTCGCACCAACAGTTTGTACTAGGGGTGGAAATTGGTACGGTATCGGAATCCCAATACCAAATACCGAAATCCCGAATATCGAATTACACCCTAAAGTCAATCTCAATCTCAATCCCTAAATAATTTCAGTATTCCAATCCCAATCCCTAAATATTTCGGTATCCCAATCGGTATTGCGGTATCCCAATCGGTATTATCGAATGCAAAATTAATTATCTTTGTAATCAATAATTGAATATATAAATTAGATTTGATTGTTTAATTTAGGGCAAAGTGACTAAGCAAAGAGTCTTGAGTTTACCTAGAGCTAGGATATGGATAAGGGGAATGGAAGAGGTGACATCTCAAATTCTTGTCATTGGTAATCTTTAATTTGACGAATTGGAGGTTGAGAGACGACTAATACTATGGTTTGCTTTTTGGTGTTATGAAAATAAAAAGAGATTAGGTGAGAGACGAGAGTGACTTAAATTGGAAAGTGAAAATTGAGTTGGGTGAGGCTTCTAAGTTGTGAAAGAGTGAGGAATGACTAAACGTTGTGTGCTACATTTAATTAATTTTTAATTTTTCGGTATTTCTCGATATTTTGGTATATACTGATCTTAATCCTGTAATCCCGAATACCGAATAGCACTCTAAAATAAATCCCAATCCCTAAAAAATAAATCGGCATTCGGTAATACCAAATAGTGATAAATTTGGTACGGTATTCGGTATATCCCAAATACCGGTACCAAACTTCCAGCCCTAATTTGTACGGGTGTAGAAAGAATTAAGTCTAAATCTTACTAACCATTAAATAATTGCATAACCAAATCGTCCAAATAAATAAAACAATCAAATTAAATTTTGATTGGTTTCGTTGTTGGTTAATCATGTTAAACAATATAATATAACATTATCGATACGTGAGAAAAAGATCTCTTACTAATGGATCTGTGATCTCTTACTAATGGATTCGTGATTTATATAAGGGTTAATACCACTGGAAATACCATCCTTTAGAGAAAGTGCCATTTATACTACATGCTTTCATTAAACACAAAAATATTCCAATCTATTAGGAGTTTGTGCCATTTGTGTTACCCGAATTTATGTTGACCGTTAAAACTGACGGTTGACCTGATGGTGGCCCACTTTGTGTCCACGTAGGCGACACATAGATGCCACGTTGAAAAAAAATACTTAAAATTTTTAAAAATATTATTTATTATTCTATTAACCCCAAGCCCTATTTTTAACCCCAACTCACCCTATCCTTTTACAACATCGGGCCTCTATCCCCCAAGCTCGACGGACGGCGGCGGTTCTTTCCTGCACTTTCTTTCCAAACGACGACGGCGGCGGTGATTGTGTCGGCGAAGCTTTGGACGTCGGCGACGCTGGAGCTTAGGAAGGCGGCCATTGCTGTAAGGCTTTTGCGGTCGAGCTTTGGAAGGGTGGAAGACGAAGACGAAGCAGGTCAGTTGGACGGGACGGCGCCACAGAAGGGAAGATGAAGCAGGTCAGTTGAAGGGTGGAAGAGTGGTCATAACTAAGGGTAAGTAAGTCGAAATTAGTTTGATTACAACCCATTCCATAAGATTCAACTTTATTGAACATATTTTTTTCAATTGTGGTGCGAATGAAACCCTAATTTTTTATAACAGTTGGTTTGGTGACCATCACAACCATGTCTGGGCGAAGATCTAACCATAGCAAAGCAGAATCAAGCTCAGCCAACTCATATGTAGTGAAGTGCAGATGCAATGTACCAGCTACTGTAAATGTATCTGGGACAGCAGGTAATCCAGGGAGGGAGTTTTACTGTTGTCCGTATTGGAAGAACAATGATAAGAGTTGTAGGTTTTTCTATGGGTTGATCGTTTATCGTCGATGGACGACGATTCGAAGATGAAGCTCGTTGCTATGTTGGAAGAGAGATTGAAGGCGGTAGAAGCTAAGGCAGAACGAAGGAAGAAGGAAAAACAAGTGCTATATTCAGAGTTGGTCAAGACTAGGGATGAAAATGCTAGGCTGACTACAGTTGTGTATGTTTTAGCAGCTTTACTGATCAGTGTTATTGGTTGTTCTTGTTGTTTGAAGTGAGTAAGCTATTATGAAATTGATGTTGTTTGTTGACAATTGAATGAAGTTCATTTTTAGTCGACGTTTGTTGCCAATGTTTGAAGTTTCTGCTGTAATTGAAGTTTTAGCATGATGTTTGTGCAATATAATAGAATGTAGTCCTGAAAAGATCATTGCAACCATAAAATACTTTGCATATATCCGATCTACCAGGGTCAGTAGTAACTAGCAAGAAAATTCATGAGAGCTAATTAAGTTTGCTCTTCAAACTGGAAGAGCCTACTCCTAACAAAAGCATAGTGCTCTTCAAAGTGGAAGAGTCTACTCCTAACAAGGCAACATACATAGTGCCATAACAAAAGTCTACTCCTAACAAGGCAACACACATTCTGCCCTATACTTATAGAAAACACATGGCATTAATCTTGGGTTGCTGGTGGCTGGGAACCGCCTGCTTGGTCAATCACAGCAGCTCCTCCATTGCCTCTGCCTCTACCACCTCTTGCAGATCTGCCCCCACCTCCTGCATTCCTGCCTCCTACATTCCTGCCCCTTGTAGCTCTTCCTGTTGCATGCATCTAATAACAACCGATAATCAATAGTCCGTCATGACATTTATGCGAAACAAACACTCAAACAAACATTACCATTGCATTGACTTCATCATCCACAGCTGGATTCTTCCTTGGTCTCCCACGTGGGCGGCGTTCTTGTGGTTGCTGCAGTTGGACAGTGTAAATAAAGAATCTTGAATGACCAAAAAATGCAACTAAAGAACAAAGAGTTTACCTGAGGTGCAACTGGAAGGGGACATCCTCTTTTGTTGTGTCCTTCGCCGCCACAGTTTTTACAATGCATGACAATATTATTCCTCCGAATGGCAGTTCCTCCTCCTTCATGGGGTCGAGTGTCAAGCTCACCCGCCTCCTTCCGCCGATTCTTCTTAGGGCGGCCCGGCATAATCCGAACCTTTGGAGGATATACAGGATACCCCTCTGCCGTAGGCCATGTCTGTCGGCCATCCAAAGTAGGCAGCCCTCTTTTGTAGGCTTTCTTGTACTCAGAAACAAAATAATACTTATGCACAAAGAGGCTGGGGTCTAGCCTCTTCCAAGCCAAAGCCGAGACAGCATGTTCACAAGGGACCCCAGTTAAACCCCAATACCCACAAGTGCAAGAAAAATCCTTCAAAGACACAACATAACCCTCGTCCCCACAAGAAACTTCAAACTTATCTTCAAGTGAGGGCCTTGTCTGCCACATTTTAGCTAACTCCTTCCCCTTCTCAATCATCTTTCTAATCCTAGGACAGATTGTATCCTTAAGCTTCGCTAATTTTTTGTTCTTGTCCACTATCCTAGCCATAATTTTCTTGCGAATCCCTTCTAACATATCAATTATTCTCAGTTCTCGCTCCTCTACGATATATGAATTGAAAGTCTCACATATGTTACTTTCTACAGCATCACACTTACAGTCATGAGACATGAATGCCCTACAGAACTTCTCGGGCTGCTGGTCATTGAAGTCCTCCAATAAAGTGGGGTCTTCTCCGCTGTTTTGAATAGCTTTCATTCTGCTTGTCACGACTCGAAACTTTGCCAAGTTGGTTGCATAAACAGCACCCCAGTACAGATTTCGGAAGGTTTGTCCCCTGTGTTTTGGCTTTCAGTTTGCGAAAACGTGTCTCGCACACTTCCTGTGGTGTGCATCCGGCATAATTCTTGCGAGAGCTTCTAATAGACCCTACATAAAATAAGACAGTTAGCAATGGAACAATAAGAACTAAATATGTGAAATAAAACAACAAAATTAAACCCTACCTTCTGCTGGTCGCTCACAACAGTCCATCCTTTGCCATCTCCAGTCACCAACTCCTCTTGCAACACACTAATAAACCATCCCCATGAATCTAAGTTCTCCCCTTCTACAACTGCCCAAGCGATGGGATACATACGATTGTCCCCATCTTTGGCAACGGCCGACAAAATCATACCATTAACCTCGCCTTTCGGAAACACTCCATCAAGAGAGAATATGGGCCGACACCCCTCAAGAAACCCTTTCCTGAGCATTGAAAAGCCCAAATATAGCCTTTTGAATAGGACCTTATTTGCAATGGAACAAGGGTCCACTTCCAAAATAAAATGGCCTCTTGGATCAACGCGCTTCAGCTCAGCAACATAAGGCCGCAACTTCTTATACTCCTCAATTAAAGAACCTCCAATAGCCTCT